TTCGCCAACTGCTCCGGGGCCCACCCTTCCGACTTGCCGAACTGATACCTCAACTCCTCTTTGAACATCGGCCAAGTAATTAGCGTCCGAGCTTCAGCATATGTCCGCTCCATCCATTCCCACCACTGCAATGCATCCCCCTCTAAATAGAAGGACGCCAACTGAGCCTTTCGTTCTTCTCTAGTGGGATGATTCTTGAACCACCGTTCCGCGGAGTATATCCACAGACCTGCATCCTCCCTGCCATTGAATTTTGGGAATTCAATGGTTGGGGGCTTAGCTCGGAACACCATGTCATCTTCCGCCTCACCACCTCGGGAGTAACCAGCGTGCCTCCCATACCCCGGCGCCTCGCTGTGGTAATGCTGCGAGAACCGGTGTCCCCCTTCATACTCCCACTCATCCTCCTCCTCCTCCCGATACCTCCTTCTTCGGCCCATCTCATTTCTTTGCCTCTGATCATCTGTTCCTGCTCCCATGAATTCCTTACCAGTACCTTGCTGATTCACGAATGGAGGTTGAGTGCCACTGTACTCGTCGAACTGGCCCTGGAGAGCCGGGATTTCCCTGCTGCCCGTTCCCACTGCACGTACCCGCTGCTGCCCCGGATCGGTCCTGGTTCGACCGGGTTCGGTCCGGCCAGGTTCGGTCCGACCGGATGCGGTCCGACCGGGCTCGACCCATCCGGGTTCGACCCGCCTACTCGGGGCCCGACTCGACCCAGCTCGGCCCGCGGGTTCTCGGCCGCCTCCTCTCCCAGCCGCGGCCCAACTCGCGCCGCCCCCCGCCTGGGCCGCCTTCCAGCCCCGCGCGGCCCATCTGACTTCCTTCCTCCCTGCAGTAGTCCGCCCCTGGCCCACTCGACTCGTTAGGCCAGGGCCCGCGATCGTATTCCTGCTCCAAGTCCATCAACTCTTCCTCATCCAGGCCCATTTGCAGACTCGGATCCACGTACTCGGCCATCTTGGCCTTGCCCCGCGCACGCGCCTTCTCCTGGGCCGAGGGGGTCGGAAGCAGCCCATCTTTGATTGTTGGGCCAAAGGAGACCTGGCCCGCACGCAACCCCAGTGGCCGGTTAGGGTTGGCCGCCGCCCCGCCCCTCTCACCACGCCCGTCCGCCGCCGTGTTCGACGAGGGCCGTGCGGCGCCGTGGTCGCCGGGCGCCTCCACCGAGGTCGATCCCTCCCCTGGCGCGCCGTCCTCCCCGTGCAGCTGGCCGCCGCCGCCAGCTTCAATCCCTGATTTCTTCAGGGCCTCCACCAAGTCACCCACCTGCCCCGCCAGTGCCTTCACAGCCCCTGCCAGAGCATCAAGGGTTTGGCCTGATCCCTAGCCCTCGCCTGCAGTCCCTTCAATTCTTCCTCCACCCGCGCCTGTCTCTCTGCCTGCGCCTCCAAGTCTCTCCTCAGTTCCTCATTGCCGGTCAGATCCTCCACAGCCCCATCGACCCCGTCGTCGCCTGCATCGGCGCTCCTGTCACCCGCCTGATTCGCCTTCTCCGCTTTCTCTGCTGCCTTCATGGATTTCGTCGTTACCATCGTTGATTCTCCGGTTTCCAAGCTGTCCCTGGTGGAGTTGAGAAGAACTCACCGATCGGAACCGGGCTCTGATACCAGATGTTAGAAACAAAGTTTCTAACAGTTGTAGAATTGGGGAATTAGCTAGACCAACTAGGGATTGATCAAGCTAGGGATTAGAAGTAGGGAATTTAGGAAGAAGAGAGGGGGGAAGTTGGCTGCCGATCGGCCAAGGGAAGAGAGGGAGGGAGAGAGAGTTCGGCGCTTAGGGGAGAGAGAGAGAGGGGAAGATTAGGATTTAGGTTTTCTGTAATTGATTGCTTAATGACAAAATAACTCCCTACTGCAGATTATATAATCCGCAAAATGCCTAACTGCTACCCATATAATAAAAATACCCCAAATGATCCCCCAATTATCAAAACCGACAATAATACGAAATAATGAAAAGCTGTAAATTGTTTGTTTCTAACAAAAGCATAACGAAGAGGTAAGCCTATTAAGCATACGACATAAAATCTCCATGGCAATTGTGAAGAGGTAGGGTGATAGGAGATCCCCTACCCCAGCCCCTTTTTTTGCTTGGAGACATGTTAACCCTTCATTAATACACATTGTAAGAGTAGAAGATTCCAAACTGCTCCTTATCCATCCAATAAACTTGTCAGGAAACCCCATGGCTTCCATCACATCAAACAAATATTCCCAATCTATACTATTAAAAGCTTTTATCATATCCACCTTCCCAACACGTCTATGTGATATATTTTTCCTTCTATACCACTTTTCCATCTCATGAGCTAGTGTACATGGACGATGGGCCGTGCTTGGACCGGCACGGCACGGGCACGCTTCGGACCCGTTTATTTTGTGTCGTGCTTGGCATGACCCGTCAGTTTTTGTGTCGTGCCGTGTCAGCACATTTGTTAATTTTGCTCAGCCCGGCCCAGGTCAGGGCACGGTTTGAATCGTGTCGTGCTTATTAGTGCTCGTGTCGTGCTTATATTCGTATATAATGAAAAGGAAGAAAATAAAAGAGAGAATGAAAAAGAAGGAACAAATTGGATGGAGAATAAAAGTATTAACCGAGAATGTAACAAATAAGGGGGAAAAGAAAATTGAAAGTATAGCGGGTGTGATTTGAATTTGTTTAGTACTTCGTCTATTTTTACTTATAGTAGTAATTACGTATATATATTTATGATCACTTCTAATAACAGTAAATAATTTTTTTTGATTGTATTTTTTAAGATTTGGACCTATAATCCTTTTTATATTTATTTTATATTAAATAAATATTCTTTTCATTCTATGTTCGTTCTTATACTCAATAGGTTCTCGAAAATATTAGGCCCGACATTACCCATTTACATACCGTGCAGTGCCCGTGCTCGTGCCCATAAAGTTTAGGCTCGGCACGGTCCATAAATTTTTCGTGTTCGTGTTGAACCGGTCCCTATATTTCATCCTCGTGCGCTAACCGTGCCGTGTCGTGCTAGCCCATGGGCGGCCCGGGCCATTGCCCATGTACATGAGCTAGTATAATGTTGTCACTTATCATCCTAGTTTAATGAAAGTAGATTGGTTTTTACTGATGACCGAAGGAAGAACTTCTCTAAGCTTACCGATAATGCATTTGTAGAGGAAATTACAGAAGGAGATTGGCCTACACTGCTTCATTGTTTCAACATTAAGGACTTCGGGGATGAGATTTCGAATTATATTGTTTACCTCTATAAGCCACCGACCTAACAAAAAGAACTCTTTCACAGCGTGAGTAACCAAGATGTCTACCACAGACCAATTGTCCTGGAAAAAAAACTCAGAGGAAAAGCCATTTAGGCCAGGGGATTTCTCCTTAGACATCCCAAAACCTACTGCCTTAATATCTTCAGGGGAGACTGAAGTGCAAAGGAAGTCAACGTCCTCTAGTATCATCAGTAGCCTCTTAATCATACTCACAGGGTACTTTCTCACCTTAGTGTCCTTTACCCCTAAGAGATTAGTATAGAATTTAACAACCTTCATACCTAGGGCTGGGAAAATAGACCAGACCGTTAGAAAAACCGTGGTCCAAACCGTACCGCACAGTTTGGTCTGGACCGTAGACCGTTAAGTATGGTCTGGTCTGGTCCATGGTCTGTATTATTTTATGTTTTGATCACTTGGTCTGGTCTGGTCTAGACCGCGGTTTACCGGACCAAACCGTGGACCCAACCGACTTGTCAATACGTGTTAATAGCCCATTCGATCACTCTCCCAACTCCCACAACGACACCCAAGTCTCAACCTTAATTTTGAGAATCTCGTCCCTCTTTCATTCACAACCACATTTAACCAAAGAGTAGAGATAATCGTGTCTCCATATGACATTATGTTAATGTTTATAACGTTATGGTGCAAGTTGGGATGCTTTTACTTTGGATTTTTGTTATGTACTAAGATTTAGGATATCAAAATTATTCATGCAGGTTACGATTAATGTTTTAAGGCAAATAACAATTATTTTTCTTGGTTATTGATTTAATTTTTGTGTGATTGACTAAACAAATTATTCATTTTTCTTTGAGTGTGGTCTATCTGAACTAGACCAGACCGAACCAGACCGCACAGGCGTGATCTGGACCGGACCGTATAGTCTATGGTCTGGTCTGTGGTCTATACTTCAACCTCTCGGTCTGGACCATAGACCGTATATATGGTCTGGTCTGGACCAGACCGCACCTTTTCCCAGCCCTATTCATACCTATCTCCTCAACATTAGTACCATTCTCACTGACCAGCTGCCTGATTGTATTTTTATTATTCCTTGTCTTCACATGGCTATGTACAAATTTTGTGTTCAAATCACCACTACCCACAACTGCCTAGATTTTTTTATGAAGAAAAACTCCTCAGCACGATGCAATTCAGGAAGCTGGATAATACGCCAACATTCAGCTTCAAAAGCCTCAAGGGCAAGGTGCTCCAAACTTTCTAAATGAGCTGCTGCAGGTGCTGCTTTGGCTATCAAGACTCTTTCATGAATGTCAGAGTAATGAGTTCTGTGTAGCTTTTTTAGTTTGATTTTCAACTTTAGATACAGACGATACATTACAGAACCTTTAGCATCATGTCCCTAGCCTTCCTGAACTCTCCTTTCATAATCCGGATGCGGCTTCCAGTAACTAAAATACTTAAAAGGTCGAGGAAGCGTTTTGACTTGAATATCTATGTGAATGAGTATGTCACACTTTTTATTATCAAGATATTGTCAGCTTTAGATGTACCTCACACAATTTTGCTTTTGGGTGCATATCATAACAAAGACATCGCAAGCCAAATGAAGCTTAAGAACTCATTCTTATTAAGAAGAAACAAGTATAATCCATTATCAATTTCAAAAAATGCATAATTGAAACCTAACTTTAAACAAGCAGTAAGACAGATAGAGCTGAATTACTAAATAAGTACTAGTACTTTTACTACGAGCAGTAAACTATTTTAATCTTCATCATCATCATCAGAAGAAGAAGATGATGATGATGATGATGAGTCGCCAGATTGAGATTCAGATTGGCTACTAATATCTTTCTCTGTGGCTGTAGCCTCACTTTTCTTGCTGACCTCCTCCGCTTGCAGCTCCGCCGTCACTACTGGCGCTTTTGCCGCTGCAGCTGCCGCCTCTGCCTTCTCCTTCTCCTTATTCTTGCAAAATTGTATGAGTCCATCCAGCGCAACTTGAGCGTCGTTTGTCTTCATAAGCTGTTGAGCAACTTCAGCTGGCGTGACAGCAACCTTCTGCATCCAAGCTTCAATAACCTTGAACAACGAATGCTCTTTAACACCGAGATACTTGTCGGCCAGCAATACGAAGCCTGCAAACGAACAGTAACCCATGTGGATATGAACATCCATCCTCCCCGGCCGCAACAGGGCAGGATCCAGCTTCTCCTTGTGGTTCGTCGTCAAGATTATAATCCTCTCGTCTCCGCACGTCGACCACAACCCGTCGATAAAATTCAGCAACCCAGATAGCGTCACCTGCAATTACATCATAATTATTAAAATCAAGCAAGTCGGAAAATAAAAGGTTTGGAAATTGAAAACAGAGTCGTCAGGACAAACAGAGGAAAAACAGAGCAAGAAAGAAACAGGGGAAGGGATGCTCTGTTTTTGTTTCTTTGTTTTTTTTCCTACCCCGGGATTAATTGAGCTCTTTTTCTCGTCACGCTGCTTATGCTTATCCTTGTGCTTATCCTCTTCCTCCTTGGAAAGCTTAGTTTCTGTGCTCTTGCTGCTGCAGTCGACATCTTCAAGCAGCAAAATCGATCGATTGGTGGTAGCGGTAAGCACGGTTCGAAGATCCGAGTCGGATTTCACGCTCTGAAGCTGAAGATCATAGACATTAAACTTGAGATGATTTGCAATGGCGGCGACAAGGCTCGATTTCCCAGTCCCAGGGGGTCCATAGAGAAGATACCCACGCTTCCAGGCCCTCCCAACGCTCCTGAAAAAGTCCTTGCGCTGAACGAAAAGATCGAGGTCGCTAATAATCTCCTGCTTCTGTGCAGGGTCCATAGCCAGAGTCTCGAAAGTGGAGGGGTGCTTGAAGACGGTGGCGTCCCAATACGCGTCGTCCTTGTTGTAAGTGAAGATGCTGAGGCCGTCGCGCTCCTTGATGATCTCGTCGGCGGCGCGGCACACGTGCGGGATGTACGTTTCAGTGACGAACTCTCTGTTCTTCTTCCTGCACTTGAGCTTGTACCACCTCTTCTTCCTGCTGTTAAAGCTGCCGGGGTTTTCGTTCTTCTCGCAGAGAACCCACTCGAAGCGATGACCTTGGAAGTGGTCGACGATTGTGGAGCCCACCGCGATGGCCGGCTGGACGGGGGCCATGATGTCGTTGTGGTCGTTGTGGCCGATGACGAGGCTGGCCGTCGACGGCCCGATTCTGGTCGGGAGGTAGACGCCGACGGCGCGGTATGTCTCGTTGTGGAAGTGCTGCCACGTGTCCTCGATGTTGAAGGTGAACTCGGAGTCGAAGAAGATGCGCGAGAAGAGACCGTGGAGCCAGTCGCCAATGGCTTCGCGAATCGCGCTGGGGATGATGTTGCCGAAGACCATGAAGAAGGTGGAGAAGCGGAGCATGGCGTTGACGGAGGGGATGTAGTCGATGATGCTACTGCTACTGCTACAGGTTCCCATGCTGTCATTCCAAGTTGACGACGCTGAAGAATGTCTTGCGTCCATGTCAAGTAAACCAAAACGGTGTCGTTCTCCCATCCACTTACCATCCTCCCTATGCGACGTCGTCTGATCATCAACGGACACCCTGCAGAAGAATCGTCCTTCCAAGTCCATCTTCAGAAGGAAAACATCGAGCTGCTCAACCCTAGCCTCCCTCCTATGGAAATCCTCTGAAAGCATAGCGAGTAAAATCGAAGACTTCACTCAAGCAATCACCGACCCCAGAAGGGCTATGATGATTTCCTCAAGGGAGCGTTTCCGGTTTCTCCAACGGCTATCTCGCACATCCTAGTATATATATAGCTAAGCATCCCTCCTTTAGAACTTGTCCGTGTTTTTGTAGAAGAAAATAGCTGAGTGTGCTTTTGTTCTTCTTTCGGTCCAATTGTAGTCTCTTCAAGTTATCTAATTCACAGTGCTGAGAGCTGGGTGAATTAGATTTGGGAAGAGGAGTGTTTCTGTGTGTTGTTTACTAAAGGGCCAACTCTGTTTGGCTCAACCAAGTAACGTAGTGTGCTTGTCTGCTTTTGTAATCCTTTCTTCGAATCAACAGAATATTTCCATCTTACATAAAGGTTGATAGCAAGATAAGGTGTGTGTGTGTCTTCGGGAGAGTTTCTCACATTTCTACTTTCAATAATTGGTATCAGAGCAGGGTCTTTGAGAGATTAAAGGTTCGCCAAAGACGATCGCTGGGATGGCTGGAACACAATCAGCATCTGGTTCATACTCTGCAAACACAAATCCACCGTGGTTTGATGGCACGGATTACACAGTATGGAAGAAGCGGATGAGAATATACCTTCGAGGAATTGATGGAGGGCTTTGGGCCATTGTGAAGAATGGACCAATTCCCATGAACGACGAAGACGAAGAGAAATGGGAAGATGACCAGAAACTGTCTTCCCAGCAAGATTCGAGGGCAATGCATATATTGTTCTCGGCTCTAAGTACAGAAGAAAGGAGTCAGGTAGCCCAGTGCGAGACTGCCAAAGAAATCTGGGAGTCACTGGAAACCACTCACGAAGGTACGTCTGAGGTAAAGGAGAGCAGAATTGATGTTTTGTTAAATGAATATGAGTCTTTTGAGATGTTTACAGGAGAATCTATCACAAGCATGTATAAGAGATTTAATGATCTAATCAATAGATTAAAGGGACTAGGAAAAACGTTTGCCACTAAGGATCTTGTTAGGAAAATCTTAAGAAGTTTACCTAGAGAATGGCTTCCAAAGCGAACTGCCATAGAAGAGGCAAAGGATTTTAATGTGCTATCTATTGAAAGACTAGTAGGCTCCCTGCTTAGTCATGAAGAAGTAATTGTTCAAATGAACAAAGAAGATAACAAACGAAAGAAGGTAATAGCTTTTAAAGCACAAGAGTATGAAAGTGATTCTGAATATGAAATGGGAGAAGACTTTGAAAAAGAGTTTGCTCTTGTCAGTAGAAAATTTCATAAAATGCTGAAAATGAAAAGAGATTTTAAGGATAGAAAGAATTATGGGTTCTCTAGACCATTTAATGATAGAAGCTTTGAATCTAGGAGAAGTAAAGACTTAGATAGGTCAGCAGGACGAGTGACAGAAAAGAATGTTCATAATAATAAGAACCAGTTTAGAAGAATGGAAAGACAAGATGGAGAACGCGATAGGAAAGAGTTTAAGGAAGACATTAGGTCTTCCAGTGAGAAGGATTTGACTGTTTGCTTTAAGTGTGGAAAGACAGGACACATGAGATCAAGGTGTCCCTTACATTTGAAGAAACAGGAGAAGGCCATGACAGCTTCTTGGAGTGATTACAGCTCAGAGGAAGACATTGAGCCAAGAAATCTGGCGTACATGGCATTTGCAAGGAAGGAAGAAAATGAACTATCAGAAGCAAGCAGCAGCCAAGGGCATCCCACAAACTACCAGGTAATCCTTGACTCTGACTCTGAAGTAAGTGAACATTATAGCACTAAGTCAGACTTTCTGCATGCTCTAAAAAATCTCCAAGAGGAGTGCAACAGGCTTAGAAGTAGGTATTGCCTATTAATGACTGAAAATCACAGCATGAGTAAGGAGCTAAGAGAGATGAAAGAAATAATGACAGTCCAGCATGTTCATGAAAACAGACTTAGAAAACAGATGTTTGAACTGATAGATGAAAATCAGGAACTAAAACGACGTCTAGCTTATAAAACGACACCTAAAGATACTGATAAAAAAACTAGAATGCATGACATGGCAACAAGAAAACGAAGTGAGGGTTCAGGTCATCAGAGGAAATACACTGAGATATATGTATGTACTCATTGCACTCGAAAGGGTCATCTAGCAAAATTCTGCTATGATCGACTGAAAACAAAGAAGCCAGTTATGTACAAAACATTTTGGGTACCAAAATGTGCTAACAATTGATTGATTGCAGAAGCTGGGAGAACAGGAAAACACATGGTACCTAGACAGTGGGTGCTCCCACCACATGACAGGTAGAAAAGAGTTATTTTCATCACTAAAATATAAAAAGGGAGGTAAGGTAGTGTTTGGAGATGATCGAGTTGGTAGAATCATAGGAAATGGAATCATCGGTAAGAGTCCATTTCCTATCATAAGAGATGTTTTATTTGTTGAAGGGCTAAAACATAATCTTCTTTTAATCAGTCAATTGTGTAGTTCAGAAAACAGGGTAATTTTTGAAGCTGAATCATGCAAAATTTCCAGGATCAGTGATGACAAACTACTGTTTTCTGGGATAAGGAAAAACAATATGTATGTGGTTGATTTAAACAACCTAGAATCTTTTAATGAAACTTGTTTTCATGCTGCATCTGGTGATTTAGAACGACTGTGGCATAGAAAATTAGGACATATATGCATATCAAAATTATCAAAACTATCAAAACTGGAGTCTGCACGAGGCATACCAAAGCTAAAAGATAATGCTAACTTTTTCTGTGATGCTTGTGCAAGCGGTAAGTTGACCAAGAAAAGTTTCAAATTAAAGAAAGACATTACCACCTCTCAAGTCTATGATTTAATTCACATGGACTTGTTTGGACCAACAAATGTGGTAAGTCTTGGAGGTAAATCATATGCTCTTGTGTTAGTTGATGATTTTTCTCGGTTTACATGGGTATATCTTTTAGCATCAAAGGATGAAGCTTTTGGAATGTTTAAATCATTTGTGTCTAAGGTGTTAAATGAGTCCAAAACAGGAATTAAATCTATAAGAAGTGATAATGGAGGGGAGTTTGTGTCTGAACAGTTTATTGCACTATGTGATGACAAAGGTATAAATCATACATTTTCTGCTCCAAGAACACCACAACAAAATGGTGTTGTGGAAAGAAAAAACCGAACCATAATCGAAACTGCTAGAACTATGTTGCTTGAATATGGTAGCCCTAAGTTTTTATGGGGGGAAGCTGTTATGACTGCGGTATATGTAATAAACCGTGTTTTGATCAGAAAGCATTTGGAGAAAACACCTTATGAAATTTTAAAACATAAAACTCCAAATGTAAGCTATTTTCATCCATTCGGATGCAAATGCTACATACTAAATACAAAAGACCATCTCTATAAGTTTGATGCCAAAGCTGAACGTGCAATTTTTCTTGGCTACTCCATGAAAGGGCAGGCTTATAGGGTATATAACTTAAGAACTAGAAGGGTCGAAGAGTCAGTATTTGTGAAGTTTGACGATGCTGTGTGTTCTGAGAAAATTGATGCAGAGAATATAGACCTATTATTCCCAGTGACTAGTTTCAATGATGTGAAAACTGAAGAAAAGGAAGCAAGTGCTAAGAAAGACTATGACTCCTCAGATGAGCCATTAGGACAACCAGAGGAGAAGATGGCACCAGCCTACATACAGAAGAGACATCCAGCATCGCAAATTATTGGCAACTTGAATGAGGGAATACACACCAGAGGTAAGTACTGTCCAGGTCAGTATGCATTTATATCACTTTTAGAACCTAAAAATTATAAGGAAGCACTAAATGATGATGAATGGTTACATGCTATGCAAGAAGAACTTTTACAATTCGCTCGTTTGCATGTGTGGGAACTAGTACCTAGACCATTTAACAAATTAATCATAGGAACAAAATGGATTTTTAGAAACAAAACGGATGAGCTTGGGGAAATCACGAAAAACAAAGCAAGATTAGTAGCGCAAGGGTACTTGCAAGAAGAAGGAATAGACTTTGAAGATTCGTTTGCTCCAGTTGCTAGAATTGAATCTATAAGAATGCTTTGTGCCTATGCATGTTATATGAAAATTCCACTATATCAAATGGATGTTAAAAGTGCCTTCCTAAATGGAGAGATAAATGAAGAGGTATATGTAAGCCAACCCCCGGGGTTTGTAGATCATGAACATCCAGATCATGTGTATAAATTATCAAAAGCATTATATGGATTAAAACAAGCTCCTAGGGCATGGTTTGAAAAACTGTCCTCATTCCTAAAAGAAGAAAATTTTGTGCAAGGAAAGGTTGACAAAACTTTGTTCATCAAAAGAAAAGATAATGAAACTTTAGTAGTACAAATTTATGTTGACGATATCATATTTGGATCAACTAGTCCAGACATGTGTACAAATTTTGGTGAATTGATGAAATCTAAATTTGAGATGAGCATGATGGGTGAATTGTCTCACTTTCTAGGGTTACAAATTAAACAAACAAGTTCAGGAATGTTCATAAGTCAAATCAATTACATCAAAAACATGCTAAAGAAATTTAATATGGAATCTGTCAACTCTTGCTCAACCCCAATGAGCACAAGTCTAAAATTGGACAAAGACATGTCTGGAGTTCCAGTATGTGAAAAGAAGTATAGGGGTATGATAGGATCTCTCTTATACTTAACGGCAAGTAGACCAGATATACAATACAGTGTTGGGGTATGTGCTAGGTTTCAATCTAAACCAAAAGAAAGTCACTTAAAAGCAGTAAAAAGGATCTTTAGATATCTCAAAGGAACAATGGAAATTGGGTTATGGTATCCTTTCTCAGATCTGTTTGAACTAAACGGGTATAGTGACTCAGATTTCGGTGGAAGCTTAGTTGATAGGAAAAGCACCTCTGGAAGCGTTCAATTTTTAGGCCATGCACTTGTATCTTGGTTTAGCAAGAAACAAGGTGCAGTTGCACTATCCACAGCAGAAGCAGAGTATCTAGCTGCTGGAAGTTGTTGTGCACAAATCATGTGGATGAAAACTCAATTAGCAGACTATGGTTTCAAATTCCAAAACATACCCATCTGGTGTGACAATACTAGCGCCATATGTATGACAAAAAATCATGTACAACATTCCCGAACTAAACACATAGAAGTAAAATATCATTTTATAAGAGATCTTGTATCGGCTGGTCATATATGTTTGCAATTTATACCTACTGAATACCAACTGGCCGACCTATTCACAAAACCACTAGCTAGTGATAGGTTTACCCAATTGTGTGCTGAACTAGGCTTAAAATCTCTTAACCAGATCAAAGATCTAAAAAGCTAGCTTAACCATTGGGCCTGAAATTATCTAGGCTTGTTATGAGTCTTGATTCACTTAAACGAGATACCCCCTTCTGCTCATGCGTGTATTTTTTGCTTTAAATGCAATCATTAGTCTTGGTTTATGAAAAACAGACTCTTCGTATTCTCATTCTCCCGCTCCTCCTCTACACTTCGAAACACTATTTAAGGATCTTCTCTTACTCTCGCCTTCTCATCCTATCTTCCAGCAAAAAGCCTTAACCTACCCTCTGCAAAAACCAACCAAAACAAAGCTTAGCTACCAAAATGAGCGATCACTTACCTCGCCCGTTCAGATTTGATGGGTTGGTGCATACATACCCAGGCTACATGTTCCATGAGCCTGTGGTAATAAACCACCATCGTCATCTTCAACATTTTGAGAATAGGAGACTTCACCACATCATCCAAATCGATCCTTGTGAGTTCAATTTCTATAAGTACGACATTATGTCTCTTATAGAAGCACTTGGATGGGACTATCTTCTTCGACAGCCTCTTCATCCAGCATGCCCTGGGGCAGTCAAGTATTTCTACTCAAACCTTAGATGCCAAGGAGTCAGCACCAGGAGTTTCTCAACTGTAGTCTACGGTCATTTATTGACCATTCCAGTAGGAGCCATTAATGGAATCCTTGGATTTCCTTCCCAAGGAATCGACATCGCTCATCCATCAGAGTTTTGGAAGCAAAACTTTATCCTTCCCACTGAATACTCAATCTTCTCCACTGAACCCACAGGAGGAACAGACGTACCGATTCCCATCAATTGGTTGACTCCTCGTTTGAGGATTTTCCATCACTTCATCACTCATGTCTTCTTTCCAAGAACTTTCAATCTTGACGTGGTTCTGCCTCTTGACCTATGGATCATCTCAAGTGCAACAGCTGGGCGCAAACTGGATTATGCCAGCTTAATGTTTGGAAATCTCCTTCCAGTTGGAGACGAGCATTATCAAGGGTTAATGCCCTTTGGGTCAATCATAACTCGAATGTTGATCAATCTTGGCGTAGATCTATCTGACCATCGTAGTGTATCTCACACCATGTATGTAGGAGCTCTAAATGTCCTAATGGTCTTAGATCTCCCTATTGACCCTGCCCCATCTCCACCACCACTTCCCTCTGCCTCATTCCTCAGTGCTCGCTCCAAATCGGCTAAAGGTGACAAAGGAAAAGAGATTGTTGGAGAGTCAAGCAAGACCGCTAATCTTGTGTTCACTGTTACTGATGGGAATACTTCATCCGAAGACTCAGCTGAACCAGAAGACCCAGAGGAGCAAGCCTCACCCATTCCTTAAATCGTATCTGCTGTAACTTAGGGGGAATATGCATCTATTTAAGTTTCCTGTAGTTGTAGGTTGTAGTCTTTCTTTTCTTGCTAGTTAGTTAAGTAGTTTGGTCCTTCCCAGGGGGAAGTTAATTGGTGTCAGTAGTAGTGGTTCTTGTTCTGCACCTTCCTTGTTATTTTTCGAAAGTAATTAAATTAGATGTCTCTGTTCTTCGTAGTGCTGCTTGTGTCTTGTGTCTGTTTTGCAGAAAAAGAAGGACTTGTTGGACGAAGGGGGAAATTGAAGAATGTCTTGCGTCCATGTCAAGTAAACCAAAACGGTGTCGTTCTCCCATCCACTTACCATCCTCCCTATGCGACGTCGTCTGATCATCAACGGACACCCTGCAGAAGAATCGTCCTTCCAAGTCCATCTTCAGAAGGAAAACATCGAGCTGCTCAACCCTAGCCTCCCTCCTATGGAAATCCTCTGAAAGCATAGCGAGTAAAATCGAAGACTTCACTCAAGCAATCACCGACCCCAGAAGGGCTATGATGATTTCCTCAAGGGAGCGTTTCCGGTTTCTCCAACGGCTATCTCGCACATCCTAGTATATATATAGCTAAGCATCCCTCCTTTAGAACTTGTCCGTGTTTTTGTAGAAGAAAATAGCTGAGTGTGCTTTTGTTCTTCTTTCGGTCCAATTGTAGTCTCTTCAAGTTATCTAATTCACAGTGCTGAGAGCTGGGTGAATTAGATTTGGGAAGAGGAGTGTTTCTGTGTGTTGTTTACTAAAGGGCCAACTCTGTTTGGCTCAACCAAGTAACGTAGTGTGCTTGTCTGCTTTTGTAATCCTTTCTTCGAATCAACAGAATATTTCCATCTTACATAAAGGTTGATAGCAAGATAAGGTGTGTGTGTGTTTTCGGGAGAGTTTCTCACATTTCTACTTTCAATAGACGCCATTGTTTCTCGGGTTAGTGTGTGAATCTAACTGGGCTGTGCTCTGTTCCGCACATTATATAGAGGGTTGAATCCGTTTCACTGGCGTAGACGGGTTCCTTACTAGACCAGGTCAAGGAAAACGCAATGGGTTATCACTTGATTCCGCAATCCACACAACACAATCAATGATCGTGTCAAGGGAAGGGAGGCAAATCATGAACTTGAATGACCAATCCATGTTGGTTAATAAGGACAAAGAAAGTGTCATGGAGAAAAAGGATTTTTTACTCAAAATACAAGACTTTTACAAAAAATCGCTATTCTGTCTAGGTGGATCGCTCCATTTTGTCGCAATGTGCTACTAATTTGACGTAAAAATATTGAGATGATCTAACTTTGCATTTGGTTATCCGATTGATGCAAAAAAAATTATATTTTGCATAACTTTTCAGGAACTACAACTTTCATAAAGTGTATTTTCAAAATGTAAGCTGAAAATTTGAAGGAAAAAAACTCTAAAAGTAAACTAAAAACAGCTCAAATCCAAAAATATGTCCTCTATCCCAAAAGTAAGCTATAATTCCAACATCAAATTCTCAGGATGCACATGCAATCTAAGTAGTTCTCTATGGAAAACAAAACAAAAAAAAGTTGGCGAATTCTGCATTAATAGTACCAAACAAACGAACAGAAGAAGCCACTGCTTGGAAGTTGGGAGACCATTCCACGACAATTTAATAGTTTACAACAAAAAATGGACATATTAAGTAGCCATATGCATTTTGCTAGCTTCAGTACCAACTTGTTCTTTGGTCAAATCAATGCTTTTACAAGTCTGCTTAGTAAAACATAATGCACCTGACTGGCAATTACACATACCAAGCGCAGCCCTATCTTTTCTTGGCAAGCATAGCCCTATCCAGGGTCCTGCAAGGTGTTGTCAGCATCACAAGATCAGTTTCTTGGCAATGCAGTAGGAAAGCACGAGTATATTATATGCAGTTATCAAGAACTAAACAACAGAGTTGAATCTTGGAAGTGACATAAGCTGAAAGCTTACCATTATATTTTTGCCAACAATAAGTAAGATAACCAATCTCATTAAAGTGTGCAGGTAATTATCAGCCAGCATAAGCTCCAGAGTCTGTTCAAGTTCAATTGGGAACTCGGTTTCCTTGCCACTGGTAAAATACAACAAAAAAATTGTAAGCATATTCTAAAACAGGACATACTGGGAGAAAAGACTTGAATACAGGATGGAATCTGTAGGTCTTTGTTGATAGAAGTTCTAGTATAGTCCTCATTTAGCGACTTTTAGAACTTCACATCGCCATGCACAGACTCAACTAATGACCATAAATGTCCACTTAAAATAATAACTGCAATCAGCTTGGGCAAGCGATAAGCAAATGGAAATGAAAAATGCTGGAAAGAGTTTCAGCCCAAAGATATCAAAATAGGAAGCAGAATTACAATCTCTACTGTTGTCATCTTAATGTTCACTTTGCTGTCAATGATCAACTGGCGTAGGAGGGGGGAAGCATACGAAAATTAGAGAAACATGCAAAATCCACAACTCAGTCAACAACTTATTACACATCCCTGAATTACATGCAGACAAGTTAGCAGCACTGGTAAGTCTTATGTCAACTCAGTTAACATAGAACTCCAGAACCCAGCTATTCTTACTAAAAAACACCCAAAAGATGAAACCACTGCTAACTGCATTAGACACAAGATTATCCGGCACTCCGCCAACGAAACAGAAGGAAATGCCACTTCTGAAGTGTGCCATTGGCTTCAGAAACACAAGAACATGCTTAGTCAGCCAGATGGTTTGCTGAATGATGGTAAACTCCAATATAATGCACTTCATCATAAGCAAACCGAACCAAACTAAAATGTTCATGTACGAATGAACTTCAGTGAATAAAGGGAAGACCTGAAAGAAACAAAACAATACATAACGAGTAGATAAGGGAAAGGGGGGAAAGAAACCGAACCTAGAATACTGAAGAGAACAGTGGAAATATGGCAGAGTTTCCTCAGAGTTGTGGTGATTATCTCAGGGAAAGTCACCACCCATGCTGCGCCTCAGCAAAACTCCCTGCCAATTGAAATGATAAGTGATCAACTTTTAACCACAGAACAGAAGCAGGCTTACGAAGAATTTAGCCAACTAACCGCCCCCATCGGTAACGAATTAAATCGGTACCACCAATCAACTCAATTGAAAATAAGGCATCAACTTCTGTATCGAAACCAACGAGCCCAGATCAACAAACACATTTGAAATTCTGACAAATCCATTCCGTTTTGGAAACCCTCGAGAGCTAGGAGAGCGGAGGCAGAGAGAGACGGACCTGGACAGGTGAACATGTTGTGCATTGTCTGTGAAACCATGCCGGCTCTAATAAGCTGGGCCGTGTCTTCTGTCTTCATTTCTGTCTTCCGTTTCTCTTTTCCTCTTCTCTTTTTGCTGGTGACTTCCCTTTTCCTTGTTCCTGGAACAGAAAAGAAAAGTGATTCCTCTTTTGATGTATGTGATCAGAGACGATTAAACCGCTGAGTGAAGAGTTTGTCGTTCTCAATACAAAAGCCACTGCCAAGTTTATTGCGTCAAATAAGTAGACTCCAGTAGGAGCTCTAATAATTTATGCGTTGCCTGCTCTCCAACAAAGTAAAGCCCTTAATCTCTTACAGTGAAATGAAAAGGAAATGGAACAGCAAAAAAAAATGAACTGATGCACTGTTCTTCACAGATGAGGAGATACCACGGGTTATATATTACTCAGCAATAAGTGACCAATTATTTTCATAGCATCACCGAATCAATAAGTTGAAAAGTTGGAGTGTATTCATGACAAATATGCACGCCAAACTAAATCATTGTTTCTAAATACAGATAACATCCCAGAAAAAGATTAGGAAAAAAAACTTTCAACTCCATAAACGGCTAAGGTTGAGTTTTCCAAAGGCATGAAAAGCTAAGCATAACCATACCTTTCTGGTTTTACCGCAGGACCATAATTGATAACATGAACAGCAACATCACAACTACACCATTAAAGCGGTCAAGTATGCAGAGCCTTGAGGTCAGTACATGAAACACAGCAGAGACCAGAGGGAAAATACAGCAAATAGTCAGTGAGCGTGACGACGATCATGGTGAGAACTCTAATTACAACCATGGAGAAAACTCAACTGTACATGCAGAAATCTCAAAGAATGTCACTCCATGCCTCTGCAATCATCGCTAACTTGACCACCCTCATTATAATGACTTTCAAGAGGTTTCTGGGTACCACATAATTCCCCTTGAATTGTATTTGTTAATAAACCCTTAGGCTCTTTCTCCTCACCACCCAAATCAGAGGAACCAAGAAGTTCTACAGGAAATGGATTATCTAAACCTACGATCAAGGACATTGTGGTAGCATCAGCGGAGAACCCCTTAGAAACCATCTCTTGAATGAGTTCCGCTGCATCAAGTGGATCTTTGTGCTGAAGAAATCCAGTGATGATCGCATTATAAGAACGGGAATTCGGTGCACAACCACTTGCCTCCATTGTTCTAAACAAATCATAAGCTTTATCGACCAAACCTTGTCCACAAAGCCCACCAATGACCACGTTATATGTATATACATTAGGTTGTAAGAACTTATCTTCGCGGAGGCTAGTAAACAAAGCCCATGCTTCCTCCCCACGCTTCACGGTTTTGAACAGGCTATCGATCAAGATATTGTACATCCGAACATCAGGCTTTAACTTGCTATTTTTTATTGCTTGGAACATAGTCAATGCCTCATCTTGCTTACCTCGTTTGCACATGTCATTAAGCAAAATGCTATATGTCACAACATCTGGAACTTGACCCTGATCAACCATTTTCGTGAGAAGTTCATGTGCTTCTTGATGCCTTTGTACGAGGCAGAATCCTTCAATAAGAGTATTAAATGTAATATTGTTTGGATTCAAACCCTTCTCAAGCATATCAAAAAATAACTTGTTGGCTTCAGAGATCCTTTTATCTTTACAATATCCATTGATCATGATGCTGTAAGTACGAACATTAGGCTTGCATCCCAGGCTGGGCATGAAGTCAAATAACCTTCTAGCGTTGCCCACTTCGCTTCGCAAACAATATCCATCTAGCAATGAGTTGTATGTAGCAATGTTTGGGTGCACTCCTCTCTGGATCATCATGTTGACCACAGCTTTAGCTTGCAAAATCATCCCATTTTTGCAGAAATCATCAACCAATATGCTAAAGGTGAATACATCAGGCATAATGTCACTTTCTATCATTTCAATCAACATCTTCAAAGCTTTAGTCCTCTTGCTTGAGATGCATAGACCGTGAATTAAGGAATTGTAGCTGAAAACATCAGGTGAAACTCCCTTATTCTTTAGCTCTGAAAAAACATCTAAAGCTTTCGACATCAAACCATTCTTACATAGGGCATCCATGACAGTGTTATAGGTAGCAACACTAGGGCTACAGCCCAAAACTTCCATTTGTTTAAGCAAACTAAGACCTGCATCCGTTTTGCCCATCTTGCACAGCACATTTACGATCGCGTTGTAAGTGACCACATCCCGCTTATATCCTAAAGCCACCATCTTATTAAACAACTCCACTGCCTCAGGAATTCTCCCACTTTTGGAGAGCCCGTCAATCATAGTATTGAAAGCAATCACATCTGGTTGAAGCCCGAGTTTAAAAGCTTTGCCTAAGATCGAAAACCCGAAATCCACCCGACCCAATTTGCAGTAGCAATGAATCAACATGTTAAGTATGTAATCGTTGCAGGGGATGCCAGCCAAAGCCATTCGTTCGGCCACTGAAAGTGCAGCCTCGGGGGCTTTCAGTTTCACAAGGGCAGTCAATAATTGACCGAATTTCACAATGGAAGGATGGGGATTCGTGTTGAGCATCCTGTTAAACGAATCTAGGGCATCATCCACGCTAGTGAAATGAGCAGAAGAGGAGAATAGAGCCTTACCGGCATTTTCCGAAAGCTGAAATCGAAATGCAGTATGACGGAAGATGCAGTAACTGATGATGTTCGTCATCTTTCGCCAGGTTGAAATTGAGGAACGCTCAATTGCAATTAGTCGTGAAAACTGAATCAGAAACAAACAGGAGTGAGCTCTGATTGTGTTCTCGTCGGAAAAATGTAGGAGGGCGTTGCAATTAGCGATGACATCGGAATTAGTCGCAAACTGAAGTGAGCTCTGCTCGAAATTTCAGAGTCTGTTCTCGTCGGACAGATGTAGGATTTGGTTAAAGGAACTGGAAATTTGGCGAAACTGAGAGTTTCTTACTTTTTAGGTTTTGTTTCCCGCGGCTCAAGCTAGGGTGCATAACCCATCAATAACCAAATCTGGACCCTTCATTTAGAAAATCCAGATCTAAGGATGGAGAATTAAAGACTATTTTTATTTTCACTAGCTTTCTTAATTGACTCATATCTTTTTCGTTTTAACTTGGATTTTAATTTTTTTTGCACAGATGGAACGAGTTCACCGTGCTCTGCAAAATGAGATCGATTTTCAATATATTTTGAGGAAAAACAATTCTGGCCTCTCGGTACCAACTGCATACCATATGGTATTTTCTTCGTTTTTAATTCGTTTTTGAAAACGTTTGCACAGCAGGGACGAGTTCATCATGATCTACTGGATCTACAAATTTCTGGGTGAACAAAATACAGGACCAAAAAATACCACACAATACCATACAATACCACCCTGGTACGGGGTGGTATTGTATGGTATCTTGTTCGTTTTTAATTCGTTTTTGAAAACGTTTGCACAGAAGGGACGAGTTCATCATGATCTATTGGATCTACAAATTTCTGGGTGAACAAATTACAGGACCAAAAAATACCACACAATACCATACAATACCACCCTGGTACGGGGTGGTATTGTGTGGTATACAATGTTAAAAGTCGTAAATTACAATTAATATACTTCTACTATCATGTATTCAACCATCCTACAGTATTGGTTTGTTCATACCACCATGGTACATTTTTCAAAACATAGGTATGCTTTTATTTCAATACCAGTCAATACCATATGGTATAGGCTGGTAAAAAATGGCTCAATTTTTTTTGTTCGAAAAATATATTAAAGTGGATATCATTTTGAAGAGCACAATTAATCTGATCTAACTGTGCAAAAAAAATTAAATTTCGACTTAAAATGAGCGAGAAATCGTCCGTCAAAGATTAAAGAGGGAAAAATTAAAGGCTTTCTATGAGAGAGAGGATGCTGATGTCATGCTGATGTGGACGGGTTACTCATGGTTACTCACCATAAGGTTACTCACCTGATCCATTCCCGTTTCCCGCGGAGGAGTGGAATAAAAGAAAGGTTAAATACATTTATATATCCAAAACTTTCACGGTTGTGCTAATAATATCCAAATTTCTAGAAATACCACTTATATCCAATTCCTTCACATTTTTTAACGGTATTTTTGGATATACAAGTGTATTTAATCAAAAATATATTGGAAAATGGATAGATTTGGCAAATAATAACTTTAAAACATGGATATAAGTGGTATTCCGGGAAAATTGGATATTATTGGCACAATCGTGAAAGTTTTGGATATACAAGTGTATTAAACCTAAAAGAAACTGGCAACTTACAAATCACAAAATTTTAGGCACAAAATTTTAGGCTAAATTGCAAGGTGACTAGAATTATTATAAAAGTTCACGTTTGCCACTAAAATTAATTTATTCCATTTGTAGTCACTTAAATTAGTTGTACAGTTCAAGTTTGGTCACTGGCCATTAGTTTCCGTTACATTTTGCTGACGTGATAGTCAACTCTCGTAGTTGAACGTTAAATAGGTTACGTGGAAATTAAAAAATCAATAAATAATAAAAATTTCATCAATTAAAAATTCTACCTCATTATCATAATAATTAAAAGATAAATAAAAATTAAAAATTTTAATTATTTATTTTATTTGATCCACCATTCCTCCATCTCTCTCCATCTTCTCAATTTAAATACAGGCAACCATTAGCAGCTCGAAGTTTTTTAGTAGTGAACAGAAATTGATTTTCAATTTTTCGCCGGCGGCAAAAAGATCGGCCCTTTGCTCAGTTAAACAAGTCAAGTTTCCAAGAGTTTTATAGGATTTCAGCGCTTTCCCTTTCCTCATTCTAATTGCTCGTTGAAATTCTGGGTTAAGCTGTCAAAATCAATCGTTATTTACTAATTTTTCCTCTTCCCCTTCAATTTTCCATTCTTTGTAAATTTTCCCATCAAACAAACAGACAAACGCCGACCTGAAAACCCCTTCTCAAACAACAGGCAATCCGCGACAAAAAGTGTGTTCTCTGTTTCTTTCTTTTTTCTTCTTTAAACAAAGATTTTGGGTGCGGGATCTGTTCCATTCCTCTACCTATTGTCACCTCTACTTCGGTTCTGCCTATTGCGCACCTACATTTCATATATTGTCGACTCTGTATTCCCTTTATCATAGCTTAATTGGGAAAGCCCTCCTCTGAATCGAAGTTTCTAGGTTGCTCCCCTGTTTTCCTCTTCTGGGTCTTCTTTAGTTGCTTAGTGTCTTGATGGGTGCTAACTTCTCTTAGATTTTCATGGATTCGGAGACGACTTGCTCCCTATTCGGCGCCTTTTCCCCTCCAATCCAACAGCCGCTGTGGAGACCGACTCTGGGTGACTTTCCGGAGAGCTGTGGGGCTCCAATTCTCACAAATTTGGATACCGTCGAGATTTGCAAACTGGCAACCCTCAACAAGGCGTGTCACGACATTAAACAGATAAGAGAAGAGAGAGGGAGGGAGGAATGGTGGATAAAATATATTAATAAATAGTTAATTAAAAATTTTATTTTTATTTATTTTTTAATTAATATGATAATGAGGTGGAATTTTTAATAGATTACATTTTTTTAATTTTTTAATTGCCACGTAACCTATTTAACGGTCAATTATGAGAGTTGACTGCCAACTCAACAAAAGTTAACGGAGACTAACGGCCAATGACCAAACTTGGACTGTGCAACTAATTTGAGTGACTACAAATGGAATAAATTAATCGTAATGGCAAACGTGAACTTTTATAGTAATTCCAGTTACCAAACTTGCAATTTACCCCAAAATTTTAATTTGTAATGATACGATGATTAAAGTTTGAAATTGGCTTATGTATGATGTTACGGGAGCTTCCCAACAACGTTCAGTAATTAATACGAGTTAGGTCGTCTTGAGCGACCGTCTTTCTACCCAAAAAAAGTTTGAAATTATATGTATGATCACTTCTGTTTAATTTGTGACCGTTTGTGTTAAGTGTAAAAGTTTGTTATCGAGTCGTTACAAATTAAAAGGTTTGTAATCTTTTTGAGGCCGAATCGTGTGTTCGTCAAATATATGAGACTAACCACTTGAACGACATATGAAATGTTGAGCCTTGTTTTCATCGATATACTTGCTTTGCCGAATAAGAATGTCATTTGTCTACCTTTCAACTTCGATACCAAGAAAGTATGGGTTAATTGCATGATTGGTCACTGAAATTACTAAAAACGTTCATATCTGGTCACTGGAAATATTTAAATCCAATCTTAGTCACTCAAATTAGTTAAATGGTTCAAATTTGGTCACTCTCCGTTAACTCTAGCTTACGTGGCAGTCAACTTTAATGGTTGACCGTTAAATATGTGACGTGGTAATTAAAAATTAAAAAAATAAAATTTTATATTTTCCACCTCATTATTATATTCATTAAAAAATAAAAAATAAAAAATCTAATTTCTTTTCTAGGTACCCAAAACCTAAATTTCTGCAAGCCCTGGCGCCGTCTTCGCCGACCCACTCCGCCTTCGACCTCGACACCTGCTTCGATTCCGGGCAAGCGTTCCCTCTCTGGTGGTCTCCGAAGTTCGAGAGCCGGATCGATTCTATGCTCCGCTCTGCCATCGCCTGGAACGACGGAACCCTCTCCGAGATCCGCTCCTGTCACTACTCCGACCGATCAATCTCGCTGCCGAGAGGTAACGAAGACGGTTTCTTTAAACCCTAGAAAAATGAATTTTCAATCGAATTTCTTTCCCCAGGTTCCCTAAGCTTCAATCTTCTTCCCAGCGTCCAGGGATGTGCCAAACGAGTACCTCATGGCAGACATGGCTTGCCCTCTTGAAGCAGATTCGGAAACCGCAGCAATTGGGAAGTTCATGACAGGGTTGAAGCACTTAGAGCTTCGATTCTCGAGGTTAACGGCCAAAGGGATCGAATCGATCAGCAAAGGGTGCTTGAATTTGGAGTTCCTGGATTTGTCAGGGTGTGTTAATGTCAGGGGGACGCTGCGAGCTTGACCAGGTTGAGAAGTCAAATTCTGCATTTGCATGTTGTTGATCGGGCATTCAAAGGGGTATGGGCATTGAGATTTGTTTGATGAGAGGTTTCAGATTGATGCATCTGCATCTGTATGATGATTCTGGTATAAAAGCTGCCTGCTTTGTGAACACTCCAATTCCTCCTCCCCATCCCCTTCCCCCACCAAATTCCCCTCCAATTGCCCGCCGCCGCCGCTCCACCATCAAATCCCCAACCCTGATCCTCTGCCCCATCCCACTCCTCCGCCGCCAACCGCCTGATTGTAGTAATGTTGTTGTTGTTGCTGCAATCTTCTAGAGCTATGTTTGCTCGTGCAGCTTCCAGATTATCACCACCGGTTGACTCGCGCATTTATCAATCGCCCAAGTAGCGAACATCGTTGGAGCTCTCAAAGCTGCGTCTTGTGCCCCATGATATCTCACTAAGCTCGGTGTCTGAAGCTGGTAGTGATGATAAGGTTAGCTCTGCTGAATCTTGGCCTTGTGCCTTGACTTCAGAACCGGAACACTCCAAGCATGGTAAAAAGAATGGCTCGTTGTCCAGAAAAAGTATTGGTGCTCCGGACATGGATCTGATGGATGATTTTGCTGAAATGGAAAGACTTGCAATCGTCTCAGTGGATAAGCAGCAGCCTGGAAGTCCTCAACTTTCTTCGGATGGGATTTGGTGGTAGAAATTGATGTCCAGGGCTGGGAATATCATGCCCTCAAAGGAGTCTCTAAATTTTTTTTATTTTTTTTTTATTTTACTTCATTGTGAAAATAAGTTGGAAATGGTAGAAGATTAAAATTTATTTTATTTATTATTTTTTAATTGCCACGTCACCGAGTTAACGGTCAACTTTGAGGGTTGACTGCCACATCAGACATATTTAACGGAGTTGGACGGAGAGTGACCAAACTTGAACCATTTAACTAATTTGAGTGACCAAAATTGGATTTAAATATTTTCAGTGACCAAACATTAACTTTTTTGTAATCTCAGTGACCAACCATGCAATTAATCCAGAAAGTATATAGAGTATTTTCAACTAAAAAGCATCTTGTAACCCATTTGCGAGGCGTTGAATTCTCTCACTATCATCTTTTGTTTATTTTAATGAGTACTTTCATCTTTTGTTACGTAATATCATTCTCATAAATTAACAAAGTCATCATACTTCAATTGGAGCCAATTGTAACCATGATTGATTGTTCAAACCTTTGAACGTTGTACAAAATAGTTACAAAAAGTTTAACTAGTTTTTTGGTCCGCGCTCCGCCGCAGTAGAAACTAATGAGTTAGTTTAAATAAAATAATTTACCAAATTATTCATATAAGATACATATGTAAGTTTCACGTGATGTTTTAATAATTACGAATAACATACGTCATCCATTTGTCTAAGTGATACATTGTAAATAACTATTTCTACATAAAGTTTACGTAGTGTTTAATTATTATAGAAAACTTACATATATTTTTTAATTGATACATAAATAATTATTTGTCCATTAACTTTATGTAGTGTCTTAATCATTAAGTAAAACTCATGTAACAGTTATAGAACGTTATTACATAATTTTTTCATAATGTGTGGTCTAATAGTATAATCAAGTTATAGTAAGTAACATCAACGAATTTTCAATTTATGTAACTTTTGTTGAATTTTTTTACATAAATATTTCATAATGTGGTCTAATAATAATTGCTTATTAATTTTAGACTTATTTTTGAAGTGGTTGTTGGGAATAAAACACATAATATTACAGAAAATTAGATTCATAATATGTTGTGTAATAATAATTATTTATGAATTTTAGTCTTATGGTAAAAGTGGTTGTAGGGAATAAAAATCATATGAATAATATTACAGAAAAGGAGCAAAAATGGCTTATGGTAAAATTGGGTATATGAGATAAAATTCTATTGTGAACAGTACACGTGGAGAAAAAATAGTCTTTTTTAATAAACAGTGAAAAGTATTTATTAAAATAGATTGATCATCAAACAACATTTTTCTCTCTTTCCATCATTATATTTGTTTGATCGAACGAAATATTATTACTTATGTGTGTATTTTTTTAATTTTTCATTAAAATATAACTTATAAGTTCTAGTATAAATGAGTAGAAATTTGACTTAAAGATGTAATAATATGTTTCGTTTTAAAAAAATGCGATAGATGTAACTTTACAAACATTAGTCTATTATTGCATATATAATGCAAAAGAGAAAAGGAATTATTGATTGAAAGAAAAAAAATGAGAGAGATTGTTCCATAAATATGTCATTAACTAAATGTTTTTGTTTCTAAAAAAATTGTCCACCTTGACAACTTGTGAGTTCTTCAAATGCTTATTTGGCAAGAAGTAACTTTTGAACAACCATAATATATAGTAAGATAAGATTTGTAAGGACACGGTAACAAAAGTTTTAAAAGTAGTTCCCAATAGGGGTGGGCAATGGGCAGGTTTAGTGGGTTTTGGTTTTAAATTGACTCACTCGTTTACTTGCGAGTTGATATAATTCTGACCCGCTATCCACCCACATTCTTCTGCGGGTTGGGTTGGGTGGGTGGCGGATGAGTGCGGTTGGGTTGTGGGTTAACCTACAAAAGCAATTCTTCAACTAGCATTAAAAAAGTTTACTAACATTTATTATAAGTTCCTAGCAAATTTGTAAGATTGTATCAATTTATACACTTCCCACTTTGTCTCATGTGAATCCATGTAGTATTTGCATTAGAATTTTGGTATTATGTTAACCAATTATGTAGAGAAAACTTACACATTTTGCGACTTTGGTTAATTGATATTTTATAATTTGTATCCCAATATCTAATGGATATTATACAACACAATAACCAATAATAGTGGTCTAAAACTATTATTTATTCTCCACTTTTAGAAGTAAATGGTCAGTGTCTAGTGCGGTTAGAAAATATGATGAATATTCGATTGTATAAGAAACAGCAATTTTTCATGTGAAAATACGATTCATGTCATTTGGGTGACCCGCAATCCACCCACCACCCACCCAGATAAGTGTGGGTAGGAGTATTATCAATCCGCAATCCATCCACATCAATCACCCACTACTTGCTATTCGGGTTATTTGCGAGTGGAAAAATGTCAACCCGCAGATTAACCACCCACGTGCTCACCCCTAATTCCCAATACACCCTTCCATAATACTCACAATCTCCCCCGCCCCCATTTTCAAAGGTTTCCCTAATGGCTTCCCCTGGATCCTCCTCCTTATGGTGCTACAAATGTTGTTGCTTGTTCCATCTCCGCCTCCTATCTTCCGGCGACTTCGTTCTCTGCCCCGATCGCACTGACTATTCATTGAGGAGTTCATCACCCTCCCTCATTCCCCTCCTGCCCACTCTAATCCTTTCCCTCCAATAGGCGTCGGCACCACTGCTATGTATCTAGATACTTCCGCAGACCTCGTCGCTACCTCAACCCCTAGATATCGTCGTGGGTCCAGACGGAACGGTGGGGATCGCTCCCCTTTCAATCTGGTAATCGTTCTTCGCGGGCCACCCGATGGTGGTGGGAGGGGAGGAAATCACGGAGGATCATCCACGTATTTCGAGCTCTATTACGCAGATGGTGTTCGGGTTCTGCCCTCTGCCCGCTAGTATGTCTGATTTCTTGATGGGGTCGGTTTTGACCGCCTCCTAGAGTAGTTGACTCAAGTGGAAATAAAGGAAATCGGCCGGTGCGATCGCTTGTCGGCTTCCAAAGCCGCAATTGAATCGATGTCCATGAAGCCAACAACCATAGATCGCTTTACTCATAGGCGACCAACTCATGATCGCTTTTGGTCGGAGCGATTTACTTTTGATCGTGTTGGTCACGGTGATTAAAGTATAGATTGCTTTTGTCACTGTCAATTTGCTCAAAACATATGTACTTTTAGGCCTGATAATCGGTGCGGTTTCGGTTGAGCCGAACCGACTTGTCGGTTAACCTCCACCGATAAGTGGTTAAAATAGACAATCAAAATCGCCACCGATTAAGCAATTTGTTAACCAAAAACGCCTACCATAACATCGGTTAGGTTGGTCGGTTAACTTTTGACCGAAATAAATGGAAAAAAACTGGGGGGAAAAAAAGAATCAGCCACATTCTCGATCCTTCTCATCTCTACTACCCTTCCCTCTCTCCAAAAAACCAAATCTCTCTCTGCCTCTCCTCTCCATTCCCAAATCCCTATCTTCACCTCTCTGGCTCTACTACCCTCTCCAAATAAAAAAAAATCAACATAAACTTTAGGGGAGTAATTAACCATATATCTACGGCTAGTGGTGTTCAAACGGAGTGGTTACTGTGGTAACCGTTTAACCGGTAGTATTTAGATAATTTGGATAATTAGTTTGGTTTGGTTAATTTTGATAATTGGTTTGGTTTAGGTGGTTTGATTTGGTTTCAGACACTTCTAACCACCGATCAAACCAAATTAACCAGTTAAGTAATTAACCATATATCTAATAAATTGTACACACATACTTAATACTTTGCATAGCACTTAATAGTCAACGGCAAGATAATTTTATTAGTTACATGTATTTATGTTAATGGTTAGCTATGATTATGTGTTAATTGTTATGTGTAATTCATTATATAAATTAAAAATTGATACACTAACCAGAAATTTTTCTCACTTAATGATAATGTGATAGTATATTGGTTATTTTGGTTAACCAATTAACCAAACCGACTAAATTTTAGTTTGATTAATTTGGCTGTAGTATTAGCTTGGACGGTTTGATTATGATATTGTATCACATGATTAATAAAATTTAGGTTTATTTGATTTGGTAATTACCATGATAATCATTTGAACACCTCTATCTGCCGCGCCGATTGGCGAGGGCAGTGAGGAGGCAGGTGACGGCAACACCGACGAGGGGCATCGAGGAGGTAGGTGGTGGCGGCGCCGACGAGGTCAAGGAAGCAGGTGGGGGCGGCGACGACGAATTGGGAATAAATGGAACTAGCTCTTTGCTCGGCCTTTGGCCGAGTGGCATATTATTGGGGGATAGAGTGTTTTTTATTTCTCTTCCGGCATAGTTCATCAACAACTATATTTCATATAATAAATATAGCAAGTTTGGGTTCTAAATGCCTTACGTTTTGTTTTATTTTTGCGCTTGTATAATGTAGTCCTCATTACCTATTCGGAAGGAAAAGGTGCATAGAAAAATAATCTGAGTTTTGCAAAGTTTAACAATATAAAGTGCATTCTATTATAGAATCCTTAGGGAAAACAATAAGTTCATAATCATAACTATAACATGAAATCCTTTGAAGCTCATAAATATAAAGATAGCATGGGAAGCCTATCTATGGTGGCGTTTGATTCAATATAAGTATGTGAACAATTATGGATGTTGAAATCCCTCTGAAAACCAAGTCATAAATTCCCTCTCAAAATCATTATGTGTTAGTGCCAGTGACATCACTATAAAGAGTGTGTTTTGTGAAATCCCTCTGAAAATTTGAGTTGAGAAGCTTGTATGTGGTGATGTCATGTTGCTCCAGTTCATTGACAAAATCATTAGAATATCATGCATTCAAGTGGAATTATGTAACCAAGTAAAAGGACTTCGTAACATGGTTTGTCTTGGTGAATGGTTGGTGGCAGCACCAGTTTCTAATTATTTGGCAGATAACAGGAAGCCCTACTGAAATGCAATGTCACTTGAGCAATCACTAATGTATTACCAACCATGAAGAGAAGCTTGATCATACAAAATTAATTCATTTGAGGTTGAAAAAGTAAGATAAAGATATGGTGGATCTTGATAACAGGAAGCAATAAGAAATTTAAATGTATAATGGAAGTGGAGTAAAGGGTGTGGACTGTTCAACCAATTATCTAAAGGGTTAATACCCTAGTTTGGCCGGAAGTTTAGCGTAAGTGACAGTTTTGGCCCCATTTTTCAAATAAGACGTTTACGGCCTACTTTTAAAATTATTGGACTGATTTGGCCCAAAATTTTTGTTGACTGTAAATATTAACTGTCAAACATTTATTCCGTCAATTACTCAGCATCCAGTGCTAAAGTGGCAGTGATGTGGCATACCACAATATTAAATAGTATTAATTTATTATTTAATTAAATTAAATTAAAAATTAAAAAAATCTACCTTATCATCCGAATCCCCCAAATCCAAACCCTAATGCAAGGGAACTTCTTCTCCGGTGAGATTCCGGCTTTCCTGTTCGGTCTCCAGAACTTGCAGCCCGCAGAACGAGGAATCCTGCGGGGAAGCCCTGTACACCTGCAACCAAATCTTCCAGTCCATTCTCCAAATCGCCGGCAACATAAACGTAACCCTAAAAGAAATTCCCGTCAACATCAAAATTAATTTGTTCCCCTGAAACCATCATCTCAAGTCTCTGGTGTGGAACGGCGGTGGGAGAGAATGGTCGTGGGCCATTACCGGATCCATTCTTTTCTTTTGTGCGGTGGAAATTAATGATTTGGGTTTTCCCTAGGTATCTAAAAGAGGGGTCCAGATCTTGTCAGTAGCTGATGGGTCAGTAACCAATCAGTAACCCCTTCCTTGGTCTCCACGTGTCAGTTACTTTTTTATTTAAATTAAATGTGAAAAGGGTAGTACGGTAAAATTGCACTTACTCCTATTTATTATTGATGCTCACTTTTGACCGGAGCCTATCAGCCCCTCCTTCTCTCTCCTGGCAAAACATTTAATTTTCCTTCCCTTAATCTTTAACGGACGATTTCTTACTCGTTTTAAGTCGAAATTTAATTTTTTTTTTTTGCACAGTTAGATCAGATTAATTGTGCTCTTCAAAATGATATCCACTTTGATATTTTTTGGACACAAAAAAATTTGTCAGTTATTACCAGTCATACCATATGGTATTGACTGTACCATATGGTATTGACTGGTATTAAACAAGAGCATACCATGTGGTATGGTAATATTTGCCACATGAATATATATTTCGTTACCACCCAATACCATATGGTATAGTGTGATAATATCAATATATATTTCGTTACCACCCAATACCATATGGTATAGTGTGGTAATATCACACAATTCACACAATACCATATGGTATAGAGTGGTAATATCAATATATATTTCGTTACCACCCAATACCATATGGTATAGTGTGGTAATATCGATATATATTTCGTTACCACCCAATACCATAGGGTATAGTGTGGTAATATCAATATATATTTCGTTACCACCCAATACCATAGGGTATAGTGTGGTAATATCAATATATATTTCGTTACCACACAATACCATATGGTATAGTGTGGTAATATCACACAATACCATATGGTATAGAGTGGTAATATCAATATATATTTCGTTACCACACAATACCATATGGTATAGTGTGGTAATATCACACAATACCATATGGTATAGAGTGGTAATATCAATATATATTTCATTACCACGCAATACCATAAATTACCATAGGGTATAGTGTGGTAATGTCAATACATATTTCGTTACCACCCAATACCATATGGTATAGAGTCATAATATCAATATATATTATCTAAAAGGAAAAAAACAGAAGGAGGGAGAGAAAAAAATCGTCTTCTGATGCCTCTCATTTCCTCTTCCTCAATCAAGAACACCAAAATGCCAAAAAAATGAGAAAGATCGGAATTGAGTCCAACGAGTTGATGAAGAGAAGAAATGCAATGAAAGAGAGTGGCTACAATTTTTATGCTAGAGAAAAAAAATGAAGAAGGAAGAGAGCAGATTTAGATTTGAAAAGGAGATTGTGAGAAAAAAAAAGTAAGAGAGAAGGAATAGAGAAAGAGAAAGGTTATGGAAAGAGATTGAAAAAAAGGAAGAGAGAAGGAAGAAAGTTGAGTTGGAGAGAAGGAAGATTCTCTCTCTTTCATTGAAAAGCCAGCCATTGAAATGCGGAATAAATAAAAAATTAAAAATACGAAAACGGACAAAAATGCCCCTCCCCACCCAGCGTCCAGCCCATCCACACGATTTCTCCCTCCCCAAATCTACGGCCCGCGTGTTGTTACTGATGGGTCAGTAACCACTGGTTACTGACCCTATCTTAGACCCTAAAAGAGAGCTGCTTTTGGGGTGGAAATGGGAAAGTTGGGAAGGGGCATCTGATTGGTTCTACAGCAGCAAAATTTGATTCAGGGATTTGGAACTGAAGTTGGAGGAGGTAGCTAGCTAAGCTTGGAGGAGGAGGAGATGGGTTTGGTGTAGCTAGAAGTGTGGACTGTAAGCTCGATGGGGGACTGGATGCTAGAGGGGAAAGACGACATCGACTTCTCTCTTGCAGCATCCAAGTCTACGACTATGATGGGAGACTAGATGCTCGATTTCGAGTTCGGGATCCCCGCGTTGCTGGAGAGCTGGGTCGGCGGGATGAAAGGGGAAGTTCCAGGCGGCTCCCATCGTGCCGTTCGTCGACACTTTTTCCTATTGAAGTTGATGTTGATTTAGATTAGGGTTTGGATTTGGGGCTTTGGAGATTGGATAATAAGAGAGGGTTTTTTTAATTTTAATTGAATTAATAAAATAAATTAATATTATTTAATGATGTGGCATGCCACATCACTGCCACTTCAGCACTGAATGATGAGTCATTGACGGAATAAATGTTTGACCGTTATTATTAAGAGTCAACACAAGTTTCGGGCCAAATCTGTCCAATAATTTCAAAAGTAGGCCGTAAATGTCTTATTTGAAAAATGATGCCAGAACTGTCACTTACACTAAAATTCGGGCCAAAATAGGGTATTAACCCTTATCTAAATTAAGGAGGAGAGGGAAATGACGAAGAGAGAAAGTGAGCGAGAGTGGGTGAGAGAAAGGGGGAAGGGGAGTGCTGGGTTTGGGAAGCAGAATTTAGATCGACTAGGTTTCATTCTTAACTGTAGGGGTTTTGTGGTGGAATTGAAGGAAGATTGGTCCTTCAAAGATGCTGGCTTTCGGATTTCTGTGCGTTCTTCGGCGATTGCTCATTTTATTTTCCTCGATGAGTTTTTAGTTGAGTGGCTGCAAGGGGTTTTGCAGGTGGCGTTGGTCCGTGGATGGAAATTTTCGGGGAGGGATTCAAAGGGGAGCGCCTCACGGGTTCTTCATGTGGGCGTGGTTGTCAAGGCTGGTATGCGATTTCTTCGTTTGGTGGAGACTTATAGAAATGGTCGAGTGTTCTTCGTGCTTATTCCAATGGATGATGGTACTTTGGGTTGGTCCTCGTTTCTTAAATCTATACAAAATGTGTTGAGGGAAGCTTTGAGAAGGAGAAGATTGGAGTCTTGTACAGAGTTTGTGCATAATCCACATCTGAAAAAATCGATGAGTGTGCCAATTCTTTCAGGCTCTTCAACTGGATCAGTCTCTTTTGCAGAACTATTTAAGATGGATGAATGGTCATCAGAAGGAATTTGTTCTATTAGCACCATTGAAGGTTCAAAGGCTCTGTTGGTTTTAGAACAGGGGGTGAATAAGAGAGAGGATTATCTTCGAACTTGTCTGGTTTTTCGTTTGGTTGGGGAGGGGATCCCTAATTGGAATGACTTTCGTATTTGGGTTAAGAAAAATTGGGGAGTGGTATATTATGATCTTTTTCCGTTGAGTGATGGCCTTCGGCTGTTACGATGTTCGTCGTCGGCTGAGGTTAGCCGAATTATGTCTCTTAACCGATGGAGTTTCAAGAATTTTCGAGTTTTTGCAGATACTTGGATCGCAAATGCAGGGAGATCGAGTGTAAATCTTTCTCTTGGGGAGGTTTGGGTACGATTTCAAGGTATCCCCCTTCATCTACGCTCCGACAATCTATTGGCTCAGCTAGGTAATTTTTGTGGTGAGGTGAAGGAAATCCAGAATAAGGGTCTTTCTTGGAATGAAGCTAGAATCCGCCTGGTTCCACACGATCTTGTCCCAAATGAAATTCCAGTTTGTTATGGTTCGTTGGTCTTCCCGGGTACAGTTTCATTAGAATCGGCGGTGATCCAGGATGCCATTGACTCTAGGTCTAAATTTCTTCACGGGTGGAGGGGAAAAGGGCGTGGAGTTTACGTCCGCAAAGAGAGAGTGGCGAGTGAGGTGGTGTCACAGGGACGATCACGTTGCTTTTTGACGAAGCCGTCTGTACAAAAAGATGTTGGTTTAGAAGTGGTGGAGTCATCGGGTAAAGAGAGTGGTAGAAAGAAGATTGTAATGGATATCGAGGATGAGAGGCATGAAAAATGGAAGGAAACTGATGTTGATATTTCACTGGGTTTTAGATCAGAAGACGCCTCTGTTCTTGATACATGTGCATGCAAAAGAGATTTGGTATCTTTTATTTCAGAAGGAGACGTTTCTTCTTCTCTTGGTGCGGCTAGGGATGTGGGAGAAGTTTCTTCTCAATTTTCGTTGGTGGAAAAGGGTCGTGAGGCCCAAATGATATTTGTTGGGAATGAGCCAGATTTATCTTATTTCATTGGGTTGGATTGATCTTTTAAGCCCATTCTTTAATATTAAATCTGTTCATTCCAAAGCTCAGTTGTTATTGCAACTTTGGTGGGATTTTCTTGCTTGGCCCATTTGAACTGTTGTAAATCCTAATACAGTCTAGAAGTCAGTTGGTCCCCTTCAGTTTATTGCCAAGCCGCACAGCAGCTCTGCCATGTTAGAAAATTTGGTAGACTCAATGGATGATTGTTCTCAAGGATCTGAGGAAGAGATAATGCTGCAAAAGAGTTCTCTTTTGGTTCGATTAGTCTCATTAAGGATGGAGGACAGTTCAGATTCTTCAGATGCACCAAGGGAGGAGACAATGAAAGAAGTCTTATCGAGAAGAAAGAGAGCACCTCCTATGTCTCCACAAGAAAGGGCTCTTCGACAGCTTGGGGTAGAGCATGGTGATGTTTCCATGATTATGACTACTCGTCGGCCTCACCAAAATGGGTCTGTTCCACTCCGTATCTCTTATGATATTTAAAATGGTCTCTTGGAATGTGAGAGGTTTGAGAGGATCATCTAAACAGTTTCAAATTAGAGATTTTCTTGCTCCTACTCGTCCTTCTTTGTTGTGTTTTCAAGAGACAAAGTTAGAAAGTTGTAGTGATTCTATTGTTGGCGTGATTAGTGGTAGACAGGGAATGGATTGGATTGAGAAGCCTTCACTTGGTTTGTCAGGAGGCCTTTTGGTTGCTTGGGACAAACATGTTTTTGAATTAGAATGTCATTGGGTTGGAAGGTATTCTTTGGTGGCAGTTTTCACTCAGAAAGAGGATGGTTTTAAATGGCTTCTGGTTAATGTTTATGGTCCAAATGATAGGAATGAAAGAAGAGACTTTTTTGATGAATTAACAGCGTGTCTGTCTTGGTGGGTGTTTCCTGCATGCATAGCCAGTGATTTTAACGTTGTCAGGTCTCAGGATGATGCTATTGGTGGACCAAGAAATATTACAAATATGAGAATGTTTAATGATTTCATCGAGGCTAACACCCTTTTGGATCTTCCCTTACTTGGGTATAGGTTCACTTGGTCAAGTCAACAACAAAATCCTTCTTTGTCCCGTATAGATCGGGTCTTAATTTCTTCTGAGTGGGAAAGCAGATTTCCAATTTGTTGCCTCAAGTCTTTTGTGCGGGTAGGATCGGATCATTGTGCTCTTCTTTTGACATCTGGGGAGGAGATGATTATTCATCAACCTTGGAGATTTGAATTCATGTGGGCCGATCATGAAGATTTTGAAGGGCAGTTGAGTAATTGGTGGCTCATTCAGGTTCAAGGGCCTGGAATATTCTTTAGATGTGCTAAGAAACTGAGATAGGTTAAGGATCTTATAAAGAAGTGGAACAAGGAAGTCTTTAAAGATGTTGAGCAGGAAATTAGTCTCACACTTCAACAAGTGGCGGCCCTGGATATTTTAGAAGAATCAGGGGTTTTGTCAGAAGAGGATAGAGTGCAACGAGATTTTTTGAAATGTCATTTGGATCGACTTTGGAAGAGAGAGGAAATCTCTTGGTGACAAAAGTCCAGAGAAACTTGGTTGAAGTTTGGGGGATAAAACACTCCTTTCTTCCACAAAGTGGCTAACTTCAATCGTAGGAGGAATTTCTTTGATAATATTTAGGTTAACCAGATTTTATGTTCAAGTCAGGATCAACTTGCAGACGCTATTGTTTCTTATTTCTGCTCCATGGCTCGAGAAACCCGCCCCAAAAGACCTTTTCCTTTTGGTCTTGAATTTCCTTCACTTCCACATCATGTGGCAGATTTCTTAACTAAGCCTTTCGAGGAGGATGAAGTTTGGATGGTGATTAAGAAAAGAAAAGCAAATCATGCTCCAGGTCTAGATGGCTTTCCGATGGGATTTTTCAAGAAGTTTTGGCGTATTGTTAAAGTGGATGTATTGGATGCTTTGAATGAGTTTGCCACTACCAGAATCCTCCCGAAAAGTGTCCAACACACTTTTTTGTCTCATTCCTAAAAAGGAGGTAATTGGTGATGTTAAGGATCTACGACCCATTAGTTTAGTGTCTAGCCTCTACAAAATTCTCTCAAAGGTGCTAATGGAAAGATTGAGGGTGCTTATGGGTGGTTTGGTTGCTTTGGAACAATGTGCTTTTGTTGGTGGTCACCAAATCCTTGATACTGCTTTAATTGCCAATGAGTTGATTGATTATAGAATAAGAGGAGGTCGACCAGGATTGGTATTTAAACTGGACATCGAGAAGGCCTATGATCATGTGAACTGGGAATGTCTCTTGTCTATTTTGAAGAGTATGGGTTTCCCTCCCAGTTGGATTTCATGGATGCGGGGGTGCATTATGGCGCCCAATTTCTCAGTGTTAGTCAATAGGGAGGCGGCGGGTTTCTTCCCAAGCGAGAGAGGATTAAGGCAAGGTGACTCTCTCTCTCCCCATATCTTTTCATAGTTGTGATGGAGGTGCTTTCCGGTATCCTCAAAACTCTGCAATCCAATGGACTCGTTGAAGGTTTCTTTATGAATGAGGATTTAAGGGACGGGAAGGTCACATATATCCTCTATGCAGATAACACCTTGCTTTTCTGTGATGCTTCAGAGGAGCAAGTTAGATTCCTCCTTACTGCTTTGGCATTGTTTGAAACTATATCGGGTTTAAGGGTGAATTTGCACAAGAGTTCCATGATGGTTGTAGGAGATGTGGAGGACCCACATCGATTTGCAGACATTTTTGGTTGTGTATTAGGTTCCATGCCTACTACATATCTTGGATTACCATTGGGAGCTAGGACAACTTCCTTGGCTATTTGGGAACCGATGATCAAAAAGGTGCAAAAGCAGTTAACATCTTGGAAGGCCAAGTTACTCTCATTTGGTGGAAGGTTAGTTCTACTAAAGAGTGTTCTCTCCAATCTACCTATCTACTTCCTTTCTATCTTCAAAGCACCAGCCTCAGTGATTGCGAGATTGGAGAAAATTCAAAATGATTTCTTGTGGTCTGGTGTTTTGGAAGTGAAAAGGCTTCACCTGGTGAGATGGGATATTGTGAAAACTCCTATAACTAGGGGAGGCTTGGGTGTTTTGGACCTTAAGATTGTTAACCGCTCCTTGCTTGGGAAATGGGCATGGAGATTTGGGATTGAGAGAGGGGCATGGTGGAGGAAGTTGATTGTAGTGAAGTGTGGACGAGGAGTTTCGGAGTGGAAACCAGTGTGGAACTTGGGATCTTATGGATTTTCTCTATGGCGGACGATTTTTAACGAGAGCTCTTACTTTTGGGATGTAGCCTATGTCGATCCAGGGGGTGGGTATGGGATTTCTTTTTGGCATGATGTGTGGATTCCTGGGAAACACGTGATGAGAGATTTTCCAAGGGTTGGCTTCGTTGCCCAATCCTTGGATGCTTTTGTTTCTGACTTATTTTCTGTGGTTGACAGGCCTTATTGGGAGATCCCCCTCACGATCTCTCTTAGACGAGGAGCTGAAGGTGAGCGTGTTCAGTTGATGGAGTTGTTATCTTTGTTGCCATCGAATTGGATATCCATGGGACCGACACGACTAGTTTGGCCTTTGGAGGCCTCCTCTGCCTTTTCGGTTCATTCTTTCACATCTAATCTCATTCATGGTGCATTTGGAGGGGATGTCTTCTATCCTTCCAAATTAGTTTGGATCCCTTCTATTCCCTCCAAAATCTGTTGCTTCGTCTGGATGGCTTCTCTCTCGAAAATCTCTACCATCGACAACTTGAGGAAGAGAGGCATGATTCTTACCAACTGGTGTTCTCTATGCAAATCCCAAGAGGAGTCCGTCTCACATCTCTTATTCTCATGCTCCTTTTTGGCAACAATTTGGGCCAAATTTACAAAGATATTTCAGTTTCACGGTCCGTTTCCAGCTAATATCAATTGTTTTCTCCCGGCTTGGAGAGGATTGTGGTGTGATCCAAAACTCAAGGATTGTGTCAAGTTCTTACCACATGCGGTGTTTTGGTCCATTTGGAACGAGCGAAACAACAGAATTTTCCGCGATTTGGAAGCTACACAGTCTGAGGTTTGCAGTAAGATTGTTCAGATGGTCGGCAGGTGGCTGCCGGCTTTTGGACTTATCTCTGATGACTATTTTCAGCAGTGGTTGAGGATTGGGGCAGGGTGGGTAAATATATGTCGTCGTTGTATCAAAAAATTTCTTTCTTTTTCTTCTTCTTTTTCCTCTTTCATTTTTTGGTGTTTTTTTCTTGACTTTTGATGTAAGTTAGTTTTGACTTTTTTGTTTGTATTTGTTTTTTATTTTT